AGGAGGAGAAGCCGTTGTCCACTCGGGGTGGTGCCCGCGGGGACCCACGGCGCGCAGAGAGGGGGTAGAGTTGCACACCAGCGGGCCGCAAGGTGGGACGCTGGCGCGGAGGCGGGGGATACGAGCACTGCGCTGGCTGGCACCACCAGGGCAGCAGTCCGCTGCCGTGAACTCCCTGCCCCCACCTCCCCTCATGTCGCCCTCCCTACGCTTCCCCCCCTCCTCTTCTTTGCCTCCCCTCACCCCCCCCTCCTCCTCTTCGCCCTCCCTTCCGTTTCCCTCCCTCCCTCCCCTTCCTTCGTGTTGTTCAGCCTGTTCCTGGACGCACGCATCCAAGTCGCCCGCGCGATCGGTAAACACATCCGCACATCTTGGCCCCGCACCGCGATGGCGCGGATCTCCTCCAGACAGCGCCGGTTCTCCGACGCGGCGACCTTCATCTCGAAGCGCAGCGTGTTGAGATCGATGCTGGTGGCGTAGCCTGGGCAGCAGCAGGGGCAGCCGTTAGAAGGAGGGGGGCGGGAGGGAGGAGACAGAGAACGAAGGGAGGGAGGGAGGGACGGAGAGGGAAATAGGAGGGGGGGACGAATGCCGCGCGACGCGTTCGCTCGACCTCGGGCAGAAACGCCCGTCGAACGAACTGGGTAGGTGAGGATTCTGCTCGTCGTTCCGTCCGAGAGCTCTCCGGCTGCCGGCTCGTCTGGGGCGCGTGCAAACTCGCACGCGGCTGTGCACGCGCGGGCGCGGGCTCAGCCGCAAGCCGCGTCGCTGCCTGGGTCTTGGCCCGAACGACCTACCCGGAATGGCCTGGCTCGGAGTTCAGACCACCGGAGGCCGAACTACTGTTCGGACTCGCTGGCGTTTCCTGTGGCGCTCCAAGGCCCTCCGAAGGCCTCCCTCCAGAGACGTCGAACCTACAAAGGACCTCGCACTTCGATGCCACACGATGCACCCCCAGGCAACCTGGGTGGAGAAGAACGCCTCCCCAGCCCGGACCTGGAAGCACACCTGTCTTCACCCTTAGCTTGGGCCCTCCTGCTCCTCCTCCTCCTCCTCCTCCTCCTCCTCCTCCTCCGCCTCCTCCTCCTCCCCTCCCTCACATCCTCCTCCTCCTCCTCCTCCTCCTCCTCCTCCTCCTCCTCCTTTCCGCGAAGATCGAGAGGGATGATTTTCCTCGAAGATCGAGTGGGAGGATTTTCGGACGTCTTCGGCCCTCGCCAGGCCCGCGAAGGCCTCCAGGGACCTCCGGGGACCTGCGGGCTCGGGGTCGGGATACGGCGGCGACCTGCCCGAGGTTCGCCCCTGCTCCTCGCGGGGTCCTGCGCCCTGCGCCCCGTCTGCAGGGGTGGGCAGGACGACGCCAAGCTCGCAAGGAGCTTCCCCCGCCGAGTCTTCCGTGGCGCGAGCCCTGGTCGAGCTCCTCCTCCTCCTCCTCCTCCTCCTCCTCCTCCTGCCCGTCCCCTTTGTTAGTCCTTGCCCTGCTCACCTTTTTGTGTCCCTTGCGCCCCCTTCCCTTGATCCTCCAATTCTCCCCTCTTCGGTCTCCTCCGCCTCCGCTTCCCGCTCCTCCTGGTCCACCGCCCCCTCCTCCTCCTCCTCCTCCTCCTTCTCCTCCTGCTGGTTCTCCTTTCTTCTCCTCCTCCTCGTCCTCCTCGTCCTTCTCCTCCACGTACGCATGCGCCCTGTCCTCGAGTTCTTCGTCCTGCCTATCAGCCTCGACTCATCCTGCTCGTTCTCCAACCCCCTTCGCCGCCATCGCCCTCCTGCTCCTCCTCCTCCTCTCCCTCCTCCTCCTCCTCCTCCTCCTCCTCCTCCTCCTCCTCCTCCTCCTCCTGCTCATCCTCCTTCTTTCCCTCGTTCTCCCTCCTCCCCCCTCCCCCTCCTCCTCCTCTCCTCCTCTCCTCCTCCTCCGTCATCATCATCATTCCTCCTCCCTCCCCTCCTCTCCTCCTCCTCCTCCTCCTTTCTCCTCCCCTCCACCCTCCCTCCTCCTCCTCCTCCTCCTCCCTCCTTTCCCTCCTCCTCCTCCTCCTCCTCCTCCTCCTCCTCCTCTCCTCTCCTCCTCCTCCACCCCCTGCCCTCCTCCTCCTCCTCCTCTTCCTCCTCCTCCTGCCACCTCATCCTCCTCGTCCTCCTCCTCCCCTTCCTCCTCCTCTTTCGGATGGCGGCGTGGATTTCTGGGATCGGACTTGGACCCCCCTGCATGTCAAGCGGAGCGCGCCAGTGGGGGCGCCGGAGGCGCCACTAATGGTGCGGGCGCAAATCCGAGAAACCCGAGCGCAGGTCTGAAGTTTACGTTATGCCGTTCCGTGTGCTCGATGCTCCTCACGCCCGTTTCGCCCTCGCCCTCCTCCTTCCTGCTCGATGCTCCTCACGCCCGTCCCGCCCTCGCCCTCCTGCTCCTTCTCCTCCTCCTCCTCCTCCTCCTCCTCCTCCTCCTCCTCTTCCTGCGTGTTGAGCCCGCCCGCCTTTGATGCACAAGCAGCACGACACCATGGCGTCGATGTCGACCTCGGCGTCCCTCCCCACGGCGTCGGCCACCATTGCGAAGAAGGTGCCGGCCTCGCGACGGGCGAGATGAAACGAACACGCCGGATGGCTCAGACAGCACACATCAGACGGGAGCTGCGCAAGAGGCCGTCTGACAAAAAACAAATGCCGAAAACGCGAGGCGGGATCCCCAAGAAGCCCAGGGCGGCTGCGGCATGCAATTGTCCTGCGAATCTTCAGGCCTGGCAACTCTTCAGGAAGCACCTGCAGATCTTTAGGCCGGGCAACTGCGGTAAGCAGTGTGTGCGAGGCGGGCCGGGAGCTCTTGTCACGAGATCCAGCAAACCTCAGCCTGCCGGGTAGGGAACAAGTTCTCGCGTGCAACCTCCTCACACATCATGATCATCGGGCTTGAGATCCAGCATGATTTCATGATTCGTGGGGGGGGATCGCGGAGTCTCGCGAGTAGCTTCGCACTGCATGTCTGATCCAGAAACTCTCGAAACACTCCGCAGCAAAAAACTCTGATGGAGGGCGGCTCCCGCACAAGATTCCCCTGATCATGGGCGCGTTTTCCACCACCACCACCATGAGTCGAACGGGGGGAAGGAGGAGCATTCTGAGCATTCTGCTTAATCGCGTAGCGATATTGGGGGGAAGGAGGAGGAGGAGGAGGACGAGGAGGAGGAGAACAAGGAGGAGGACGACGAGGAGGACGAGGAGGAGGAGGAGGAGGAGGAGGAGGAGGAGGAGGACCCCGTCCACCTCCAGCTTCTGGTGGTGCTGGTGGAAGATCAGCCCCTCCCCCGAGGCTGGAGCGAGACCTCGTGGAGGCCGTGCCCCCCGCCCGCCCGCACGGGTGCAGGGGGCCCCCGCCCAGCAGCGGGCCCCCTCGCCCGAGACCCCCCCCCGACCGGACGCGGCCTCGGCGGCCGCCGCGCGGTCTGGCGGTGTCGTCGTCGTCGTCGTCGTCGTCGTCGTCGTCGTCGTCGTCGTCGTCGTCGTCGTCGTCGTCGTCGTCGTCGTCGTCGTCGTCGGCGTCGGCGTCGGCGTCGGCGTCGGCGTCGGCGTCGTCGACGTCGTCGTCGTCGGCGTCGGCGTCGGCGTCGGCGTCGGCGTCGGCGTCGGCGTCGGCGCCGGCGTCGGCGTCGGCGTCGGCGTCGGCGTCGGCGTGGGCGTGGGCGTGGGCGTGGGCGTGGGCGTGGGCGTGGGCGTGGGCGTGGGCGTGGGCGTGGGCGTGGGCGTCGGCGCTGCCCGCGGCCCCTGGCGGCCTGGCCCCGCGGCGCCGCCGGCCCAGTCGCTCCGCTGCGGAGCGGCGGGCCCAGTACACGTCGGTCGAAAGAAGTAGGCAGAAACATGAAGTAGGAAGGCGGATAAAGTGGATTGGGTCCAGGCCCTCCCAGAGAACAACAGAACACAGCAAAAGCATGCCGATTCTTCGGCTACACGCAAGAGTGACCCTGGGCAAGAGTGACATTTGGTGCGCGGCTTTTCGGGACCGCGGGGGGGCCAAAAGCAAGCGCGCAAGCCGCTGCTACCGCTTCTCGTTCGGCCATCTGGGGGCCCAGCTGTGCCCGCACCAAAGGTCACTCCGGCGAAAGGTCACTCTTACGCCTAGTTGAAATAGGAAGGCGCTTGAAGTAGATTGGGATCTGGGAATCCAAAAGTACCTACTTCCAACGACCGGCGTGCACGCCCGGGCGGAGGGGTGCGCGGCTCCGCGGCTGGTGCACGCGCTCGACCAGATCGCGCGGCACCGCGGGCAGCGCCTATCGGTCGGTGCCTGGCCCAGGCCCCCGCCTGAGACCCCACGGCCGTGCGGATGCGGGGCAGCTCCGCGCACTGCACACTCCGGCGCCCTCGCGCGGCTCTCTCGCGAGACGTCCGCGTGAATCCGCCGCCGTGCCGTGGGCATTCCGCGGGGTGCCCTCGGGGTTCCCACACGAGCTCCCGTCGAGTGCAGCCGCCGTGCGCTATACCACGGGGAGCGCCGGAGGAGGAAGGGAGGGGCGCTTCTGGGCACGGCGAGCCTGGGGCGTCAACACTGGCAGAGAACCCAGAGCCCATCCTGGGCCGAAAGTGGCACTGACTGCAGCGTCTCGACCGCAGGGCGCTCTTGGGACATCCCAGCGCGACCGTTCCCGAAGCCAGGGGCTGCCGAGCCACAGCACGCGGCTCGAGGTGTCCGGCCGCGCCCGAGAGGCGCCAAGCAGGCGGCCAAGATGCCCCCAAAGAGGCCGCCGAGACACAGCCCGAGACGCCTCTGACCCACAGTCCAGGGCGGCGGTGGCGGGGTGGGCCGAATACCGCTTGCGTTGAACCAGAACGTTTGAAGATTCCAGCAACTGCATGGATGGAGGTCGGCAGCCTCTTCCAAAAACTGGCCCCTCGCCGTGGCGGCGGCGAGTGGCCCAGAGGCTCCAACCAGCCACGCTGACAGAGGAAGGCCCCTCCCCAACACCCCAGGTGGCTCACCACGCCACGCCATCCAATCTTATCTCCGACCGCAGATGCTCGTGGAACAGCTGGCTCGACATCTCAACACACCAGCTATTAAAGTCCAAGCATTACCCCTCCAGCTCTCCCGCCGTTCTCCGAGGATGTCCCGGGCGACTGGGGCCGCCAGGGCCCCGCCGCCCCCGAACCGTGGTGGGGGGAGGGGGAGGGGGAGGGGGAGGGGAAGGGGGAGGGGGAGGGGGAGGGGGAGGGGGGGGGGGAGGGGAGGGGGAGGGGGAGGGGGAGGGGGGGGAGGGGGAGGGGGGAGGAGGAGGAGGAGGAGGAGGAGGAGGAGGAGGAGGAGGAGGAGGGGAGGAGGAGACAGTCTTGGCCTCACCCTGGTGCAGGCCTGCAGAGGGCCACCGCCAGTGGACACTGACGCCTGCACAGGCGCGTCGGGTGGGGTTTTGGGCCGGGGATACACACTGCAGCACCAGTGGCGCGTGCTGGAATTGCTCTGGCCCGCCTCCGCCACGTCCGCAATGTCACTCTCGTCTTCGATCCCCTTCCACAGATTGCAGTCGGGCCGCGGAAAGAAGGAACGCCGAGTGAGGAAGGAAGCCCCTTCTTGGCCCTGTAAGCGCATCTGTGCCCCAGGAGGGCATGAGGAACAGCAAAGGAGGAACATAGGGAACATCGAGCCCCTTCCGAACCCGAACTGTTCCTCATTTCAGCGTCTTTACTGTATCCCTCATCGTGGTTTCTCCTCTCGCCCTCTTCGTAACTTCACTCTCCATATCTTACTCCCCGACTCCTTCAGTTCCTGATCACCCTGATCACTTCAAGCGTCTGTACACGTTCCCCTTCCCCGCGTTCATCCGCATATGTGCGGACCCCTTGCGCCTCCTGGTCACAAGATGACTCGTCCTCATCCTTTTCATCGAGCTCGGTTTCCCGCTCCTCCTCTTGTACCCCCTCCCGAACCTTCCCTCCCCCTCCCCGTCCCGCTCCTCTCCCCCAACCATCCACTACCCTCTCGTGCTCCTGCATCACTTCGCGCTCTTCCTCCATTCCTTTACCTTATAGATGACCCCCCACCCTGTCGCACCCCGAGACATGTCCGTAGGGCGGGCCGAACGTTTCGCCGGAGACTTTCCAACCAACATGATACTACAGCTTCACGAATGGAGGGCGGGCGAGATCCAAACCGTGGCTCTCGCCGTAGCGCCACGCACATTCGTCTCATAAGTTCGCAAGATGTTCGAGGATTGGGGGCGGCTCCTTTTCAGAATGTGGCTCTTGCCTTAGCGCCATGCATGTTCGTTCGTTTGCTTTGGCAGTTTCGAAGGTGTGGCTCTCGCTTCAGCGCCACGCACTCTCGTCTCAAGCGTTCGCAAGAGCTTCACGGACGAACGGCGGGCCACTATCAAAACGTGGCTCTCACACCGGCGCCGTGTACATTCGTCTTGCAAGTGTGCCAGGGCTCCACGGTTGGAGGGCGGCTCCTTTTTTAAACTGTGGCTCTCGCATTAGCGCCGCTTCACAGATGGAGGGCAGACGGTGTCCACAATGTGACTCTCGCCTCAGCGCCGCGCATATTAGCCATGAAGGTTCGCAAAGAGATTTTCGGATTGAAGGCGGGCGGTGTTCAAAACGTGGCTCCCGCCTTTGCGCCACGCACATTCGCCTTAGAAGATCGCAAGATTTCAAGGGTGGAGGGCGGTGGAGGGAGGCTCCGTGTCAACATGTGGCTCTTGCCTTAGCGCCACGCAGACTCGCTTAACGAATGTGCATGGGCTTTGCGGAGTGAAAGCAAGCGGTGTTTTGAAGATGTGGATCTCGCCGCAGCGCCGCGCACATTCGTCTTAATCGTTTGCAAGAGCTTCAACGATAGAGGGGGGATGCTCTTCGACACGTGGCTCTCGCCTTGGCGCCGCGCGTCGTAAGTTTGTACAACAGCGTCTAGCGACTAGTATGGCTGATGTCCCAGAAAATGTATTGGGGCGCGATGTAGGACTGACAGGGCGCAACAATCACGTCGAATCGCGGTGTTGGAATCCCAGGATGGTGTTCTGGAGCGAATCAGAATCGTCAGGGTGCAACAATTCCGTGGATTTGCGGCGTGGATGTCCCAGAAATGGTGTTTCGGCACGGGGTACTTAGGATTTTCAGACGGTTGCCTTCCAAAGAGACACCTCCACCAAGGAAAATACATTCGTACAGGGACCTATGAAGACGAGCATGGAGGGAGGGTTGATTGCAGCATGTGGATGGGTCTTATGTTTGCACTGGTCTTCCTCCTCCTCCTCCCTCTCATCATCGTCATCCTCATCCGCATCCTCATCCTCAACATCATCATCATCCTCCTCCTCGTCATCATCATCTTCATCATCAGCATCGTCATCATCAACATCAGCATCATCATTTTCATCATCAGCATCATCATCAGCATCAGTATCGTCGTCGTCATCAGCATCGCCTCCCCCCCTTCCTCCCCCTCCTCCTCCTCCTCCTCCTCCTCCTCCTCCTCCTCCTCCTCCTCATCCCCCTCCTCCTCCTCCTCCTCCTGCTTCTCCTCCTCCTCCTGCTCCTCCTCCTCCTCCTCCTCCTCACCCCCCCCTCTTCCCGACCACACTCCTGTCTCTATCCCCGCTCCGAGCGGGCCGCGTGCTTGCCCCGGCCGCGGCAGCTGGCTCCGTCCTCCTCCTGTTCCGTCCGCCTCCCTCCTCCAGGCTGGACGGTCTCCCCCGGGGCCGCAGGCGACCCGAGGAAGAGAGGGCGAGGATGAGGATGATGATGATGATGAGGAGGAGGAGGAGGAGGAGGACGACGAGGAGGGGGAGGAGGAGGAAGAGGAGGAGACGGAGGAGGGGGAGGAGGGGGAGGAGGAGGAGGAGGAGGAGGAGGAGGAGGAGGAGGAGGAAGAGGAGGGGAAAGGAGGAGGACGGGTCGCCTAGACCCTTTGGAAAAACCCTCCACTCCAGACCTCACCTTCCGGCTCCTTCGAGGCCGCGCCCCTCCCTTGCTGCCCCGCTCCTCCCACAGAACTGGATGGGGTAGAGGGCGGCTGGCGACGAGAGCTCGCAGAACTCCGCCATGCCTGCGTCCCACCACCTCCTCCAGACCTCCTCGCGCCGCGGAAAAAAAAAAAACATAAAAGAAGGTTTCTGGCCCGTTTCGGTCTCTGGGGGCCCTTGCCGGGCCCCAGGCCCCGGGACCGCAGCCAACCCGGGATACCCAAAAAACTGGTTCAAAGTAGGCGTCCAGACCTCTGGGATCCACCCGCGGAAGCACGGAATGGGGCACCTCCAGCGGCCGAGGCAAAGGCGGGCGAGAGGGCCTCCTTGATGTGTATCCCCCGCGACTCTATGAAGCTCTGGAAGCGCGGCTCCTGGAGCACGCGGCTGAACCTCGCCCGGGGGTGGCTGAGGGTGCCCCTGGCCCGAGGTGCCCCCAGGTTTGCGCTCAGCCTTGGAGCCCGTGGGGCCCTCGGGGCCCTCGGGAGGGGTGCTCTGGAGGCCGTGGGGGAACCTTGGGCCACGGGCACTGGCCTCGGGGCTCAAGGGTGCCGGTGCCACGCCGCCGCCTTGGTGCAGCACGCCTCTTGCGCTGCCGCCCGGGATGCTCCGCGCCAGCGCGCGCAGCGTGGTCCACCACAGCTGCGGGCGAGATGATGGGGCGCAGAAGGGCGTACTGCGATACTCTGCGCCACCCTCGGAGGCGCACGATCCCGAACAGGGAGTGCAGCACGTGCTTTTCGCAGTCTACTGTTACCCAGGCGGCATGACCTGCGGACGGGCATATGCTGCACCAAGGAAGAGGAGGAGGAGGAGGAGGAGGAGGAGGAGGAGGAGGAGGAGGAGGAGGAGGCGGAGGAGGAGGAGGAGGAGGAGGAGGAGGAGGCCAGGGCAAGGGACGGCAATCTCCCGCGGACAAAGTCATCCTAACTCCGCGCCTCGTGCCTAAAGGGTCGGGGACTAAGGACCACTGCGTAGCAAGTTCACAGTAGCCCCCGACCCGCTGATTCGACTGGATCAGCCCGCCAGCTGTCGCGCGCGCAGCCATCGTCACGCACATCGCTATATCCGCCTGCCGCTGTTGCAGCTCTCGAGTCAGTGCGCGAGTATGTGAAGCACGATCGGGCATAGCAGAGCCTAAAACCACGGATAGGCCGGTACACCGAAAATGGGAATGTCAATCTTATGTTGTTCCCGTTTGCCCGCCATGCACGACAACACAAATGTCACGGAATCGGTGCGCGGGCGATTTCCCGCCACTGCTTAGGAGAACGCTCTCCTGAGCTCCCTGAGCGTGTCGTTTTTCTGACCCGGCACTGGAGTGCGAGCGTGAGGTGAGGAATAAATCCTGTCTCAAATGCAACCGCTTGCTGTTGAGGTTGCGGTTGCTTGTAGGTCAGAGCCCATCGAAAGCCGACGGGCTGGCATCCCCCAAATACGGGGGAACTGGCTGTCGCGGACCGCTGGCGGTCCCTAGTCGAAGCACGGGGTGTAGAGATAATTGCGCTTCCTGCCCTTTTTCGGGCTCCGGGGCCAGGCATTGCTAGGCCGTGTCTAACGCCATTCATTGTACGTTTTATCTGTGCTTACCGTTTGCGAGAGTCATATATCAGTGCATGATACACATATTCGAGCCCTGCTAGAAAAAAACATATCAATCAGGGATGCTCGCAGCGCGATGGACTTGCATGCGTTGGCACCAGGCAGGCAGGCCCGGTGCACCTGATGCGGGTGCCCGTCATGCTGGGGATTGATCCCCTCCAGGTGCACCCTCCATGCTTTGGCATGGCACGCCCCTGCGAACACACACGCCTCAATTCAGCGGCAGGGGGGCGCGCGGACCCATTTGGGGCCCATCCGCTCCCCTGAGGGGAACAGCTGGGCAGTGCACGGCCCAAGGCTCATCAGAATGCGGACCACTGCCGCGGCAAGTTCGCTTCCCCGACCTGGGATGCCACCCTGTAGGAGCCCTGATTCGACAGGATCGCACGTGGGCATGGGTGAGAAGGTGGCGGCGGCCAGCGAATGCGATCGCGAGGTGGAGTATCGATCGGTGCTCCCCACTAGGCACCTCAGTATCGTCGCTGTCCGCCGACCCCCACTTTAGGCCGCGCGGCAGGTCTTTCACATCGGTCAGGTGAGTTAGCCTGATCCGCGGCCTAAGGTTACATCCGAGACGATCCTTTCTCTTTTTCTTTTCTTCCTCCTCCTCCTCCTCCTCCTCCTCCTCCTCCTCCCTCTCCTCCTCCTCCTCCTCCCTTTTCCCCTCCTCCTCCTCCTCCTCCTCCTCCTCCTCCTCCTCCTCCTCCTCCTCATACTCCTCCTCCTCCTGGCTGCCTCCCGCTCCTGCTGTTCCTCCTCCTCCCCCTCCTCCTTCTCCTCCTCCTCCTCCTCCTCCCCCTCCTCTTCTTCCTTCTCCTCCTCCTCCTTTTCCTTCTGCTCCTCCTGCTCATCCTCCTCCCAGCTCTCCTTCCTCTCCTCCTCTTCCTCCTCCTTCTCCTTACCCTCCTCCTCTTCCTCATCCTGCTCCTTTTTCCTCCCCCTCCCCTTCCTACCCTTCCCCTTCCTACCTCATCGCGCGCCAATGCAAATTTTCTCCTATATATATATATATATATATATATATATATATATATATATATTATATATATATATACATGTATACCCTGAAGAAGCATTCAAGACCCCCTACCATAGCACCGTACACATCATAACCAGGGCGCGATTCAAGCCGAACGATAATTTTAGCACCGTGCCAAGCCACACAACAAATCCCCCAAAGGCTCATTTTCAATATCTAGCTCTCGCCTTGGCGCCGCGCGCACTCGCTATCAAACGCGCCGGGGGGCGTCTCGGTTTCATATAGTTCTCGCCTTAGCGCTGCGCACATTAGTATCTTAAAATGTGCACGGGTTTCACGGATTGAAGGCGGCTGGTTTGGTCGAGTTTCAAGGGTTGAAGGGGTTCGGTTTCTGAATGAAGTTCTCGCCTTAGCGCCGCGCACATTGATGTTTGAACCTGTGCGCGTGCTTCACGGATTGAAGGCGTCACGTTTTTTGAAACCGAGATCTCGCCTTAGCGCCGCGCACATCCGTTTCAACAGCCTGCACGGGTTTCACGGATGGGGTCAGTTTGAAAACAAATCTTGCGCTAGCACCGCGCACATTGCTCTTTCTTATAAAAAAGCACTCGGCTTCCAAATCTTGAAGCCGGCTCGTTCTTAAAATCTACCTCTCGCCTCAACGGTGCGCAAACTCGCTCTAACCATGTGCACGAATTTCACGGGCCGAAGACGGCTCGGATTCATACTAGGGCTCCGGTTTTGTCCCCGCGCGCATTGGTTTCCAAAACTGCGCCCGAGTTTCACTGAGTGGAAACGGCTCGTTTTCGAAATCAAGTTATCGCCTTGGCGCCACGCGCGTTCGCCTTATCGCCGCGCCCTCTACGATTCCGATTGCAATCCTTAATGGGAAGTTGATTTCCGTTGGCTGTCCTGGGGGGTGGCCCATCCCAACGTATCGCCCCCACCCCGCACGGAACGTTGCCTTAACACCGTGGAGGGGCGAACAAAACATCCCGTCCCCGAGAAACAATAGGAGTCGTGCTCGTGCTACCGTGGAACTGACTGTTAGTAAGCGTGGTCGTAGGTCGACATGTAGGTAGGTAGGTAGGTAGGTAGCAGTAGTAAAAACAAGTAATTGAACTGGTAGCAGTGCTCGTCGTAGTATTAGTAGTAGTGGTGGCGGTGGTAGTGGCAGTACTAGCAGCAGTAGTAGTAGTAGTAGTAGTAGTAGTAGTAGTAGTAGTAGTGGTAGTAGTAGTAGTAGTAGTAGTAGTGGTGGTGGTGGTGGTAGTAGTCGTAGTCGTAGTCGCAGTGGTAGTAGCAGTAGTAGTAGCAGTAGTAGTAGTGGTAGTAGTATTAGTAGTGGTAGTAGCCGTACTAGTAGTAGTAGTAGTAGTAGTAGTAGCAGCCGCAGTCAAGTAATAGTGGTCGCCGCAGTAGTATGAATAGTAATAGTAGTAGTAGTAGTAGTAGTAGTAGTAGTCGTCGTCGTAGTCGTAGTCGTAGTCGTAGTCGTAGTAGTAGTAGTAGTAGTAGTAGTAGTAGTAGTAGTAGTAGTAGTAGTAGTAGTAGTAGTAGTAGTAGTAGTAGTAGTAGTAGTGGTAGTAGTAGTAGTAGTAGTAGTCGTAGTAGGAGTAGTAGAAGCAGTCGTAGTAGTAGTGGTAATAGTAGTAGTAATAGTAGTTGTAGAAGTACTACTACTAGTAGTAGGTGTAGTTGTAGTAGTAGTAGCAGTAGCAATAGTAGTCCAGTGATGGTGGTCGCCGTAGTCGTAGTAGAAGCAGCAGCAGCAGCAGCAGTAGTAGTAGTAGTAGTTCAAATAAAAGTAGTAGCGGTAGTCGTAGTAGTGGTAGTCTTCGTAGTAGTACTAGCAATGACGGTGGTGGTAGATGGAGGAATATAAGTAGTAGTCGGAGTAGTAACCGTAGTAGTAGTAGTAGAAGTAGTAGTAGTAGTAGTCGTAGTAGAAGTAGTAGTACTAGTAGTAGTAGTAGTAGCAGTAGTAGTAGTAGTAGTAGTAGTAGCAGTAGCAGTAGTAGTAGTAGCAGTAGTAGTACTCGTCGTAGTAGTAGTAGTAGTAGTAGTAGTAGCAGTAGTAGTAGTAGTCTTGGTAGTAGTCGCAGTACGGGGGGTCGCCGTAGCCGGCGTAGTAGTAGTAGTACTAGTAGTAGTAGCAGTAATAGTAGTAGTAGTAGTAGTAGTAGTAGTAGTAGTAGTAGTAGTAGCCGTGGTAGTAGTAGCAGTAGTAGTAGTAGTCGTAGTAGTAGTAGTAGTAGTCGTAGTCGTAGTAGTAGTAGTCGTCGTCGTAGTAGTAGTAATAGTAGTAGTAGTAGTAGTAGTAGTAGTACTAGTAGTAGTAGTACTACTAGTAGTTGTAGTGGTAACAATGTACTAGTAGTCGTAGTCGTCGTCGTAGTAGTCGCAGTAGTAGAAATAATGGTAGTAGTAGCAGAAGTGGAGTAGGTACTAAAATAACAAAAGAGAAATGTACTAGCACAACCGCTCTCCATCCGTGAAA